GTGGCTCAGTTGGTTGGACGACTGACTTCGGCTCAGGTCATGATCTCACAGTTGGTGAGTTCAAGCCCCGCGTCAGGCTCTGTGCTGACAGCTCAGAGCCTGGAGCTGCTTCGCATCCTGTGTCTCCCCCTCTCTCTACCCCTCCCCTGCTCACACTCTGTGTCTGTCTGTCTCTCAATAATAAATAAACATTAAAATAAATTAAATTAAATTAAATTAAATTAAATTAAATTAAATTAAATTAAAATATATAGAAATGAAGATGGCAGGCAGGTTGAGAACTATTCTAGAGGCTGTTTTCACGAGCTGAAGTCCAGGGTGAGCTCAGCAGAAAGGAAAATTATTCCCTTGGATGTCAGAGGGCCAGAAAGTAGTCTTAATTAATTAATACCACAGAGACATGACTTCAGTGACTCATAACTTGGCTAAGGTGCCAAGTTAAACCTGGGCAGCTAATCAGTGATAAATGTCCCTGATCCACCTGGGTGACTCAGTCAGTTAAGCCTCTGGCTCCTGACTTTGGCTCAGGTCATGATCTCACGGTTCATGAGACTGAGTTCCATGTAGGGCTCTGTGCTGACAGTGCAGAGCCTGCTTGGGATTCTCTCCTTCCCTCTCTCTCTCTGCCCCTCCTCCGCACATGTGCATACACTCTCTCTCTCTCTCTCTCTTAAAATAAATAAGTCAACTTAAAAAAAATGATGGATGTTTTTCTTAGATAACGAATGAACCCGGATGGTGCTTAAGCACTCCTCATAAACGTCCTGAAAGAGGTGTGCCACCCCATTCTAAGTAGACATTGACACCACAGACACCACAGTCCAGACCTGTAATCACTGATGTGCCAAATCACGAAGGTCTCTGCACATACCCGTGGGAAGCTTCCAATTTCCTCTGCTGTATGAGCGGTACAGACAACAGAGAGACAGAATATCAAGGAAAGGTACATAGCTTCATTTATTAGGTCCCTGAAGACTGCTGAATGGCCAGTACCATACAACAACCCCTGGGTTCTTACCCTGCAAAACTACACAAGATGGACAAGCACAGCTAGCAGGAAGAGGAGCGGTGTGGCCAGGCCGCGTGATCACACAGCCCACCCCCCCCAACAAATCTGCAAGTGGGCCACTCCAACAGGACCCGAACACGCTGCCCATACAGCTCTCAATCAACTTGTGCAGCACCTCCGGACAGCACAAGAATGGAGAAAAACCACACTGAAAAGGGTAAGAGGGACGGTCTCACTTCATCCCCAATAAGTGAAGAGATGTTGTTTTAATGTATCTTGCAACGCCCTGTAATTGGTACAGATGTCCTGCGTTATTTTTGTACGTATTAAAAGTATTAATTTCTTAAAAGATCAACAGTTTCCATAGACCGGTTTTGAAATTCTTCCTTCCTCTACTACACGGGAAGCCTCAAAAATGAAAGCAAAGCCTCCCTCGGGTTCTGAGCTTCTCTCAGGCACCCAGCTGAATGGTCACGAGAGCATACGGAGGGTGGTGGCCTGGCCAAGAGAAGACAGGGATGGACTGAAGCCAGGTAACGTGGGCTCGGCCACCGGAGCACCGGACTCGAGAAGGATTCTGCATTTCCAGGGCAGGAGGACGATGGTCTTATGAATAAGGGAGGAGGCCAGGAAGGGGGTGGCCTGAATAAGAGGATAAGTTCCACGCTGGGTGGGAAGGGCTCTTAGGAATTCTTTTTTTGTCTATTTGGCTTAAATGAGCCGAAGTAACACCACTGACAAGACTGCTCCTGAGGATGCTGAGGGGACAATGAGGAGTCCCTGCTCTGGACCACGGGTGTGCACACCGTCAGAGAAGGGTCTACGCAGCCCTCACTGACGCCTACAGAGGAAGAGGGTGCGGACCTAGCGGTGTGGCCACACTGAGAATGCTTTCCCTCTGTGTTCCCCATTCCAAAGTCCACGAGTACCCACCCACTGCTGCACACCATGCACCCCAGCCAAAAAAAAAAAAAAAAAAAAAAAAAAAAAAGAGTGTGGACTATAACCCACGGAACCAGAGTGACAAAGAGGAACACTGGGACCATCACAGTCAATCAACTGTTCCTGCGGACGGAGATTCCAAGGCACACGGAGGCGGCCGCCCACACGGACCTCGCCGCTGACGGAGATCTCACGCTCAGCTGCCCTGACTCCTTCCTGCCACCGGGGGGCACATCTAGGCTCCTGTTCGCTTCCTCACCTGGCAGGGCACAGCCCCGCACCACAGTGCTGCTGCTCGCACACGCGGGTGGGGGTACCATCTGTTCTAACTGTGGCGTGAATTCCAGGGGTGGGCGACAGAGAAAAGACGAGAAGCATTCCCCAAGCATGTTTTCACTGAGGTTCCCTGCATCTTTTAACGATGATTCACATTTTTTTTTTAATGCTTATTTATTTTTGAGAGACAGACAGACTGAGAGTTGGGGAGGGGCAGAGAGAGAGGGAGACACAGTATCTGAAACAGGATCCAGGCTCTGAGCTGTCAGCACAGAGCCCCGTGCAGGGCTCGAACCCGTGAACCACAAGATGATGGCCTGAGCTGAAGTCAAGACACTCAACAAACTGGGCCACCCAGGTGCTCTAACAATGATTCGCATTATTAATTATACTAGTTACCCAATCACTTTTAAGAGAGTAATGATCAGTACATATTCTTCCTTATATGGGATCTGAAATCAAAGGGTTTACCAAAAAAGAAAAAAACCAAAAAAACAAAAAAAAACAGGGGAACTAAGATCATATGTTTGTTCCGGAATAAAATATACATTTTGTGTGTTTTGAGCAGAAAAAGAAATGTAAGCCCTCACTTCAGCTCACTACTCATTTTTGTAACATACTTATAAGAAGGAAGCTTAATAGTATGAACATGAATCTATAAATCATAAAAACCTCAAGAATGAGAAAAGAGGGGCACCTAGGTGGCTCAGGTAGTTAAGCATCTTGACGTCATCTTGATTTATTGACTCTTGATTTCGGCTCAGGTCATGATCTCACAGTACATGGAACTGAGCCCCGTGTCAGGATCTGCCCTGGCAACACAGAGTCTGCTTGAGATTCTCCCTCTTTCTCTCTCTCTCTCTCTGCCCCTCCCAGACTCTCTCTCAAAATAAATCAACATTTAAAAAAAATGAGTAATGAAATTTCAAAAACAGCACTGGCTGTCTCAGCCACTTAAGTGTTATAAAATCCCTTATTATAGTTACAATCTGGGGGGCAGGGGGAAATAGACCAGATTATATTAAGAAAAAAAACAAACAATGATACAAAGGTCATGTAACACAGGTTTTTAAGTTTGCTTTGAATAATTTGGGAAGGAATTGAGGCAAAAAGGCCCTTCTGCTCATATAAAATTGTAATTGAAGAACACTGAGTCATCAAATTACCTTAATCTCAACCTTAGTTGTCCAAGGAAAATCTTTTTAATTTTTTTTTTTTTTTTAGCATTTATTTATTTTTGAGACAGAGAGAGACAGAGCATGAACAGGGGAGAAGCAGAGAGAGAGGGAGACACAGAATCGGAAACAGGCTCCAGGCTCTGAGCTGTCAGCACAGAGCCCGACGTGGGGCTCGAACTCACGGACCGTGAGATCATGACCTGAGCCGAAGTCGGACGCTTAACCGACCGAGCCACCCAGGCGCCCCCAAGGAAAATCTTTAGAAACAAAATGTTAAAGAATAAGGTACATCTGGAGGGATGATTGCATTGGGATCGATCTTCATTCTGACATATGTTTCACAATTTCAAATAGCCTGCCTAGAAAGAAATTCATTCATCTCCTGGAAGCGGCACTTTCGCTATGGGAAGATATAGACATACGTATCTCCAAAACTATAAGAACTTTCACATCTTGCTAGTGAGACTAACTACCGGAACAAGATTGCCTGAAAAGAGATTTAACAGTATCTATCAAAATCATAAATGTACATATCCTCTGACTCAAAAATTCTATCTCTGGAAATGTATCTTATAAACAAACTTGCACACGTACAAGGTTGTGTTAAGCAGCAGTATCTTCCTTCTACCAGAAGGACTAGAAATACCCCAAATGCCCATTACTAGGACACCTGTAAAATAAATCATGGAACAACTCTGCGGAACACCAAGTGTCTGTGAAGTATTCTCTTTTTTTAAGTTTATTTATTTATTTGGGGATGGGGGGAGGGAGAGCATGAGCAAGGGAGGGCAGAGAGAGAGGGAAAGACAGAATTCCAAGCAGACTCCACACTGTCAGTGCAGAGCCAGACGCAGGGCTCAGACTCACGAACCATGGGATCATGACCTGAGCCGAAACCAAGAGTTGGACGTTTAACCGACTGAGCCCCCCAGGTGCCCTGAGTGGTAAAGTATTCTATGTATTGTATGGAACTATCTGCATGATATTAAGTAAAAAATTCAAGTAACAAAAGAATTGACACTATATACCACCTTTTGTATTAAATTGGAAGCAGGGAAAAATAATCACCTATGTCTGTATCCATTTCTAAAGAAATTTTTTTTTAGAGCTAAAGAAATTAAAGAGATTTTGGAAGAATACACACAAAACTAGGGAGGTGAAGGATGAGAAGGGAGGGAGGTATTTCACTATATGTCTTTTTACTCTAAGTTTTGAACTATGTGAATATATTGCCCATTCAAAAAAGTCAATATTCAAACAGCAAAAGTGATTTACTTAATGCTCAAGACATTTCACTAATAAGATGCCTCCTTAAAACAAGGAAAGCAAAGATTTCACATATCATCAAACAAAACTGACCTTCAAATCGTTAAGCAAAATGTGAAATTACATAACCTGTCTTTACTTCTTCAAAAACAGTATTTTCATATGCCTTGCATAAATGTGACATGGTTAGTACTTTAGCCTAAAAATAACCCCATTTCAATGTTTTCAGGTTAAATCTCAACTTGATTACTGACACAAAAACCAGCCAAATTCCAGCAGTGTAGGTACTTTCCAGAGCTTTCCTGCCTCACCACAGGAGACACCCATACCTTTGTCAGCACGATTCTTCCTCCCATGAGGGATTCGGTGAAGGCAGAGAATATAGCCGTCTTTTGTCTCAACGTAGTGTTCCTCACTAGGGAATCCCCAGTAAGAGATAATTTCAGTCTACAGAGAAAAAGAATAATGGAATTTCTGTGCACAGAATCTGACAAGATCTCCCACATTAACAGGCAAAGAAGACAAAATGCCAGCAGGCATTCTCCAGGCTTTAAGAAATCAGTTGTTAGTGACATTTTCGTGTGCTCAACCTAGTAGCACCCCCCACGCAAGAGTAAATCCTCCACTGGTTTCATCCGGATCTTCTACTCACAGGTGTTGGATTAACCTTGGTTTCAACATTCTAACATGTTCTACGCCACGCGTGTCTAATTTCACCACCATGTTGGGCCTCTTTGTTTCCATCCTGGCTCCCAGGTACAAATAAACATTCTTCTTTATTTGTTTTCTAAATATGCCAGCTAATATTGTGATCACGCATAAAATATCCTTATTTTCAGAGGTCCCTTCCTGGGAAACAAAGCGTAGCATTAATCTGTTTTTATCAATGAACTAATGAAATTACACTAGTAAAATACAGAATGGCAAGGTGGACTTGGAGGACAAGAAAAGATGAAAAGCAGGAAATTGTGATCAAATTCACTTCTCCATAAGGAGCAGTCCATGGAGAAACTCTTAACCAGGAGCTCAGTAGAATACGGATAATTCAATTATCTAGATTTAATGTAAGTAAATGCTCACTATCCTTTCCTCTGCAAGTATCTGAAAGAATTTAATTCTTTCATTTTTACAGAAAAAAAAAAATTAAAGGAGGGGAGGAATAAGAAAAAATCGGGGACAAGAACTAAAACTTGACCGTAAGACCCTGATCAAGTTACATTCTCTTGACTCACTTTGGATTTATCAGCTTCAAACCGTGGTGTCTTGATTCTTCAGCTGGGTCACTGCTTCATCTATTTTAAAGTAGCTACTGTCTCTAGTCATTTGTATTTTCCCATGTTTTAGGCCTAAATGAGATAGTTCCAGGTTTTATTGTTTCCGTAAGATTAATAACCTTGAAACGTTAATTTCAAATTTGAAATATTAATTACTCCACAAATTGTTTTTGCTTATTTGTTCTAACAAAACTTTTTTTTCAGATATTTTGATTTTTATATCGAACTGTGCTCCCTGGACATTGCTAACCACACTTCTTGTTCACTGTGTTGTAACAGCAGCACTCGGGAGTAGCATTCTTGCAAAGTTTTGATACATTTTTATCCTTCAAAGAGGTGAGTTGGTGGCTTCATGTGGCCCACTTAACCGAATCTCAGAAAATAACTGACCTTTGTCACATGCATTTTATTTATTTTTTTTTTAATTTTTTTTTTAATATTTTATTTTTATTTTTGAGACAGACAGAGACAGAGCATGAACGGGGGAGGGGCAGAAAGAGAGGGAGACACAGAATCGTAAGCAGGCTCCAGGCTCTGAGCCATCAGCCCAGAGCCCGACGCGGGGCTCAAACTCACGGACCGTGAGATCGTGACCTGAGCTGAAGTCGGATGCTTAACCGACTGAGCCACCCAGGCGCCACCCGTCACATGCATTTTAAAAGCATCTTTCAGGGGCGCCTGGGTGTCTCAGTCAGTTAAGTGTCGGACTCTTGGTTTCCGCACAGGTCACGATCTCACAGTTTCCTGAGTTTGAGCCCTGCGTCGGGCTCTGCGCTGACAGTGTGGAGCCTGCTCACGATTCTCTCTCCCCGTCTCTCTCTGCCCCTCTCCTACTCATGCTGTCTCTGTCTCTCTCAAAATAAATAAATAAAACTTTTAAAAAAATGTTGAAGCATCTTTGAGATTTTGAGAAACTTACCACATTCATATTTGTTTCGGGATCCACAGCTGCCAGCTTCCCTTTGAACGCCTCACACTGCAAGGTCCCAAGGACCAAACAGAACACCAACCCCAGGAGCTGCATTTTCATTCTGTATAAAGTAGTCTATTGTTATTTGTCTGAATTTCACTGCACAAATTATGCCGGTAGATTAATGCTCCCATAAAAAGTTCTGAACCAGGCTTAGGGGCAAGTCAAAGTCAGGTTCAGGGGCAAACATGAGACAAAGGACTCCGGCCCTATCTGGAAACAGAAAAAAGTGAGGAATTATTATTTTTTTTACTAAGAAACCTCTCTACCTGCCATCCTCCACAAGGTTACCATGTGACCTTTGGAGCCCAGCACACCCACTCACCCTCTCACCACAAGGTTCAACAAATTTTTCCAGAGAAATAACAGAGAAGAGGACTTAGAGGATAATAGGCTGGAAAAAAAGGGAAGAGCCACAAAATTTCAGAACTGGTTAACCTCCCACCTTTTCCCTTCTAATAATGATTTAACATTTCTAAGGTCTCATTTTTAAGTGCAGTATTAGTGCTTTTGCCTCCCACTGTCTACTTACTTCCGTTCTTGCCCAAAATTACACATCAGGATTCGAATTTGTCACCCAAATGTTCTGCTAAGTGAAATAAGCCAGATTGAGAAAGACAAAAACCACATGATTCCACGTATAAGTGCAGTCTAAAAAACAAATGAATAAACAAACAAAAAAGCAGAAACAAACCCATAAATACAGAGACCTACATAAATACAGAGTGGCTGTCAGGTGGGAGGTCCGGCAAAACGGGTGAAGCGGAGAGGGAGATACGGGCTTCCAGTTATGGAATGAATACATTACACGGATGAAACGTACAGGGTAGGGAATGTCCTCAAGGGTACTGGAATAGAGTTACATGGTGACAGACGGTAGCTACATTTACGGTGAGCATAACATAACACACAAAGATGTTGAAACACTATGTTGTACACCTGAAATGAATGGCCCATTGTGTCAACCATACTTCAGTTAAAAAATAATAATAAATTAAAAAAAAATAAATAAAACAAATAGGTCATCCAAGGAAAAAGCTGAAATGAAAGGAAGCCTGCAAGAGAAACAGGATAGAAGAACATCCCTTTCTCCTTCTGAGACCCTCCAGACCACCAACAAAGATGATCTAGCTTCTGCCAGGGATGGTACAAAATCACAGCACAGCAAAGACCTCGGGGATGGATGTTAAAGGCAAAGTAAAGTGAGTCTCCCCAAGGAACCTGGATGATTAGAAGCAAAGCAGGAACTACAGCCTAGGCATCCTACATTTTAAAAAATATAGTCACTTAAAAAAAAAAAAAAAAAGATGCATGCATGTATACCTATTCAAAGACTTGTATAAAAATGTTTAAAACAGCTTTGTGTGTAATAAACAAAAACTGGAAAAGCGCAAATGTCCAAAATGGGTGAATGGTTGTGGATAGGACATGAACATGATATATACATACTACTCAGCAATAAAAAGGAATAAACACACAGTAACACGGATGAATCTGAAACTAATTACGGTGAATGAAAGCAAGACCAAAACACAAGAATAAATACATCTGAGTCTATTTATAGAAAACTCTACAAGCAGATCTAGGGCTGGCTGCCTGAGAAGAAAAGGGAAAGGAGGAAAAGACTGCAAAGGGGTATGCAAGAGAAGGGTGATGGACAGGTTCACTATACTGAATTTACCGATGGTTTCGCAGGTGTATGCATATGTCAAAATTCCTAAATTGTTCACTTAAAAAAGTCTTGTTATTGTATGTCAATAATACGGCTGTTTTTGAGACTTGTGCTTAACTGAGTAATCCACAAATCTTAGGGCATTGGTTCTCAGGAGATTACAAATAGTGAATTCTGCCAAAGCAAGCACTGCACTTAGTATCCAACCAGCAGCCAACCCTGAACATCTACAAAGGAAGGCATGTTACCTTGAATCTGCACCGCAAAAGCAAACTCACTGGCCTTTACTCACAAGTGTAGACTTCTTTGTGGTGGTTGGGAAGGGCTGCCTCGTCCGGAGCCATAAATTCAACCTCCCCAAAGTCCATTTTTACTAGGGAATGGGGTGTAGATTGAAAAGGAAACGGAAAAGTTGTGCCCACAATTTAAAACAAAGAATCATCTGGCAGCAGACTGTTTGCACTCAGTCCTGCCCTACAGAACCTGGGCCAGCTGTCCACAGAGAGGCTCCAGGAGGGCGACAGGATCTATCACCCAGGTAATTTTTCCTTCCGACACAACATTTAGCAAGCTTCTCAACCTAGGAGTCAAGGGATTCCCGGAGGGCTGATGATTGAGAAGCTTAAATGGAGAAAAAGCCCCCATCCAGGCTGGATTCTGTGTGCTTTCCTGGGTTTTCTTAGCAACTTTTATCTCGGGTCTTTCTACATTGTAACAATCCAAGTATGTGCTCGGCTGGCCCTCATTTCACCCCAGCCCATGTGCAAAGCGGGCGTCTGACTCAACTTTGAACCCCTAGGGCCTGAAGAGATTCCAGGCAAATATTGGATGCACAGTTCAGATTGGAATACGGGATAGGGAGTGGTCCAAAAGTTCAGTGGCTGGAGAAAAGAAAAACCGCAAAGCAGCCTTCCATTTTGCTTTCTAATAATGACACCACCACCACCAATAATTTCGGTTCCCATTTAAACTTGCGCTACGCGCCAGACACCGCCGGCAGCGCTGCTGAGCTGTGTGAACTACTCTGAGCAAATCTGGGGGGTACCGTTAAATCTTCTTTCGAGAGAGGCTGAGATTGCACCTAGGTTCTGTACCGGAAGCAAAGTGGCAACGCGTTTAGAGGGAAGCTTGACCAGGGGAAAGGGGGTAGCTGGGAATCAGGAGTCCCGATTGTCACCGCAGTCCGCGGGCTCCGGACGGCTTCGCTGATCGGCGGCCGCTCCCGTCCAGGAAATCGAAGGGCTCCTGGAGAAGGGCGGGCAACTTCAGGGGGACCCCCCACCCTGAAACCTGGACCGCGCCGCCCGTAGAAGGGGCGCCCGCAGATGCTCCAGACAAGGTGCTCCAGGCGGGATGCTCCAGGCGCCAAGCGCAGGGGGTCCCGCCAGCCTGCAGAGGCTCACGGCGGGAGGCGGCAACACACATGGAGACAGGGGCTGCCGCACACTCTCACACAGCAGCAGCACAAGCCAGGCCTCACCTGGTCCTCCCCTGCAGCTGTCCAGAGCCGCAGTGCCCGCACGCGGAGCCGGGCACCTGGAGGGCCAGACGCGGCCCAGCTCCCCTCTCCCCAGCAAGCTTTGTGTGCCACAGCCAATCAGGGCCACCGGGCCTTCCCCAGGCGCGGACCCACGCCCTGCCCACCCTGTGCTTCGACAGCCCCGGCCCCCGCAGAGCATGCGCTGACCAGGCCCCAGCAGGTGGAGGCTCCACCTCCCAGACTTCACCAGCTTGACAGTAGCCAGGACATCATCAGGCAGCGGAGGCTGCCTGCGCCCGGGGGCTCACCCCTGCAGGGGTTACCTGCCCTCTGCCACCTACCATGGGCTATGGGCTCTCTACGTGAAAAGAAATATGTTCAGTATAAAGCGCTAAGCAATGTGTCTGATGCAAAGCAATCTTCCTGTACATTTTATTTTTATTTCTAAACTGCCAACCATTAAGACTTTCCCAGTGTACGTAACCAATAAGGTCCCTGTTCTCTGCTTACATTCAGGAAAAGAAATACCATAAATAAATATATATAATATAGAAGAGGAAGAGGCAGCCTGGGTGGCATGATGGGTTAAACTTCAGCCAGGTCACGATCTACATAAGCGGTCAGTTGGTTAGAGCCCCGCGTCGAGGCTCTGGGCTGATGAAAACAGGAGCCTGGAGCCTCATTTCGATTCTATTGTCTCCCTCTCTCTGCCCATCCCGTTCATGCTCTAAACATCTCTCTCTGTCCCAAAAATAAATAAAAAAAAAATAAATAAATAAATAAATAAAAAAACGTTGAAATATATAATATAAAGTACTAGAAAGTTCTACAAAGAACAATAAAACAGTAAAGAGACAATAAAGGAAGATGCTATGTTATATGTAAGGTAATCAGAAAAGGACTCTGATGAAGTGACCACTGAACACAAACAGGAAGGTGACTAAGAACCATGTGGATATTGGAGAAAGACCATTCTGGGGTGAGAGAATAGCACGTGCAAAGGCCCCGAGGCAGAATATCCTGATGGGTTCTAGGAAGAACAAATGTGGTAGTAGAGAGTGGTAGAACACGAAGTCTTGGAAGTAGCTGGGTGCCCTGCAGGACAATTTTAGAGAAGAAGCCAGTGGAAGGTTTTCCAAAGAAAGGCAACATACTCTGGTTTGTAGTTTAGAAAGACCACTCTGTCGGCTAGGGTCAACTGTGGAAACAGGGAGACAAACTGGAAGGCTACTGCAATAGTCCAAGCGAGAGTTAATGATGGCTTGGACTGGGGCAGTGGGAGCAGTGGAGGTAGAGAAAAATACTCAGATTCAAATGGAGAAAGTACCATGAATTCAAATGGAGTGAGCACCGAGAAGAGCAGCTTGGGAGGAAAATCAAGTGTTTGTTCTAGATGTGTTGATTTTGAGACACTCATTAGAGAATTCTCTCCGCCAAGGCTCTGCCGACAACCTGAACTCACTCTAGGGATCCCAAACAGAAGAAATGGTTACACAGGTGGTGGAATTTCCAAGAAGCCAAACAGGGTTTGCACAAGCCCCGCAGAGACCAGCGACAGCAGGCAAGGCTGAGGCATTATCGGGGGAAGACAGTGTCGCCAGAGACCGGAGGTTCCTGCGTGGAGCAGTAGTCTCTGCCAGAGACACTTCCAAGGCCGAGAGAGGAGAACCACACATCCTGTGGCTTTCCCTGGCTCCCGCCCTCCGGTCTCCCACCAGTCCCTCCTTAGGCTCAAATGCAACCTGACGCTGGCTGACCGAGGACCCTAAGAAATGCAGGCTGCAGGGATCAGACCCCTCACCCTCCAAGACACAGAGCAGAGGACGGACGGAGAACGGTTCCAGAGACAAACTGGCAAAGATCAGCACTGGCATGTACACATCCAGTGTTCAAAGTCAAGTTCCAGGCTGGAGATTTAACGTGGGAATAATCTGCTTATAATGGTGTTTAAAGCCCCGAGGCTGTATGAGGTCTCCCAGAGAGGAAGCATAAATAACAAAAAATAACATAGAGACTCAGAAGATACGAAAGCTGAGAAGAGGGCACCTGGGTGGCTCAGTCGGGTAAGCGTCTCATTTCACCTCAGGTCATGGTCTCACGGTTCACGAGTTCGAGACCCGTATCGTGCTCTATGCTGTCAACATAGAGCCTGCTCCAGATCCTCTCTCCCTCCTCTGCTCCCCCTCCTCCGCTTGCACTCTGTCTCTCTCAAAATAAATAAATAAACTTTTTTAGAAAAAACCGAGAAGACAGTGAGGTTGGAGAATCGTGTTGGATGTGAAACCGAGTCGAGAGAGAGATGACTGGCCCACACTTGAGCACTGAAGAATAAGCATCACATTTAGCAATATTTCTGTGTGTCAGACGTTGTGCTAAGCCCTTTACGCAGAGTATCTCCTTCAACCGCCAAAACTACCTCCATAACCCCATTTTACAAGTGGGTAAATGGAGGGTTAGAAAGGTTCAATATATTGCCTCAAGTCACAAGGTAGAGAGGGTAAGCGGTCCAAGACGCAGCCCAGGCAAATTAAGTCCAGGTTTTTCATCCATAAACAAACAAACAAAGAAACAAACAAATATCCAACCACGAAGCCCCTTCATCCAAGTAAGGGAGGATTTTCCCCACTTTCTGCTTTGGGCCATTGTAAGCCACAGTGACTGGCAGATGACCCATACATTTAGTATAAAGAGAAAGCTTTACAGAAGACAGCAGGTGCAAGGTGGTGTGTGTGTGTGTGTGTGTGTGTGTGTGTGTGTGTGTGTGTGTGTGTGTGAGTGAGAGAGAGAGAGAGAGCGCGCGCGCTCCAGTAATCTACCAAGGGTTCCTCTCAAGTCCTGGGCTGAGTATTACCCAGAGTCTGTATGTGAAGAAACTACACTAGACCAGGGAAAAAGACACCTGAGAGGAACAAATGGGAAAATCCCCCAAGTTTACAAAGGATTGAGACTAGTTTAGGCGATACCGGACCAGAAGGGAAAAACCTCATAATATAAAAGACCCTTGGCAGTAGACTCAGAAGGATATTATTGCCTCAGCATGGGGCAAAATTATCCCTAAGTAAGCCTGCTTAAAAGTAAGAGTCCTGAAAGAGACCCTCGGTTGATTTTCACAAGACAGTACGGTGGGGAAGGAATCATCTTTTGGCAAATGGTGTGGGAACAACTGGATGGCTCCACACACAGCAGTTAACCTCCACCCTTACCTCACCGCGTACACAAAAATTAACTGGGGGCACCTGGGTGGCTCCGTTGGTTAAACGTCTGACTTTTGGTTTTGGCTCAGGTCACGATATGACAGTTCGTGAGTTTGAGCTCCACTTGGGCTATGCTGGCAGTGCAGAGCCTGCTTGGGATTCTCTCTCTCTCCCTCTCTCTGCCCCTCCTGCTCATGCTCTCTCTCTCTTTCTCAACATAAATAAACTTTTAAAAAATTAACTCAAAATGAACCATCGCCATAAATTTGAAATTTATGGGGAGATCAGAGAAAATATTGGGTTTGCCAAAAGGATTTCTTAAACAGAACATAAAAAGCACAACCCATGAAGGAAAAAAAAATTAACAAATTGGACTTCTTCAAAATAAAAAACTTTTTCTATTTCAAAAAATACTTTATAACTGCAGTGAGATTCTGCTTCATATCCACTAGGATGACTATAATAAAAAAGACAGAGGGGTACCTGGGTGGCTCAGTTGGTTAAGTGACCACCTCTGGATTTCAACTCAGGTCATGATCTCGCGATTCGTGGGATCGAGCCCCACATCAGACTTCTTGCTGACAGTGTGGAGCTGCTTGGGATTCTCTCTCCCCCTCTCTCTCAGGCCCTCTCCTGCTCATGCTCACTCTCTCTCTCAAGATAAATACAAATAACCTTAAAAGAAACTTAAAGAAAGAAAGAAAGATAATAATACACGTGGAAGAGGATGTGGAGAACACAAAGCAGGCTGGGATAGAAGATGGACGGCTGCCTCAGAAAACAGCCTGTAGTTCTTCAAAAGGCTCAATAAACGTACGGTTGCCATATGACCTAGCAATTCCCATCCCGTGTATACACCCGAGGGAAATGCAAACTCGTGCTCACGTAAAAACCGTCCACAAATGTTCATAGAAGTATCCCTCAGAGCAGCCAAAAGGTAGAGACAGCGCAATGCCTACCAGCTGATGAATGGGTAAATGTGATCTATCTCTACGCTGGAATATTATTGCATAATAAAAAAAAAATGAATGTCTAATGCATGCTATGACATGGATGAACCCTGTACACATGCTGAGGGATAAAAGCCAGTCACACGCACCAAAAAGGGAAAATAACTCCATTTACATGAAATGTCCAGAATCGGCAAGTCTATCCCAACAGGAAGCAGATTAGTGGTTGCCTCGGGCTGGTGGGGGCAGGGATTGGGAGAATGTGGGTTGATGGCTAAAGGTTGTGGCTTTCTTTTTGCTGTGATGAAAGGGTTCTAAAATTAATTGTGGTGTTCGTTGCACAACTCTGTGGATAAACTGAAAGTCATTTAATTGTACATTTCAAAGAGTGACTTGTGTGGTACATGAATTACACCTCAATACACTGTTTTTAAGACTTTATAAAAATGATAAGGTATACTTGTTACAATTTAGTAACAGGACTAAAAACCCAGTCAAAAATGGGCAAAAGGTTTGGACATGCCACCAAAGTAGATACGTAGATGGCAAATAAACACGTGAAAATATGCTCACCATCATTAGTCATCAGGGAAATGCAAATTATAGTCATGATGAGACACCACTATTCTACCCACCAGAATGGCTAAAATTAAAAAGTGTAGACATGGATGAGAAGTAGCATCCAACTCTTGGTTTTGGCTCAGGTCATGATCTCACATATCATGAGTTCAAGCACGAGTCAGGCTCTGTGCTAACAGCTCGGGGCCTGCTTGGGATTCTCTCTCTCTCCGTCTCTCTCTGCCCCTCCCCTGCTCATTCTCTCTCTCTCCCTCCCTCCCTCTCTCTCTCTCTCTCTCTCAAAATAAATAAACATTAAAAAATAATGAAATATTGATACACATAGCAACATGTATGGCTCTTAA